GTGGAGATACCGTACCCCGCCGTACTCGCGAGCCAATCGCGCTCTAAAGGGCAGGCATACGCCGTCCGCCCAAAAACACTTTTCACGCTTGGAAAAGCGGGTTATTAACATCTTTTGAAGCTGAAAAGCACAGTCTTGGACTTAGCTCATCCAGGGAAACCGAGAACGATGAATATCACAAATTTGTTATTCTGCCGAGCCGCTGCCTTTAATTAGCTTTAGTGACACCAAGATTATTCGCAGATCTTTACTATCAGTCCATCTACTTGTAAAATCTTCCTGTTCCTAGACCACTTCCTTCCATATGTTTTCCTTTTACGATAGTAGAACCAGATAAGCACTTTTTCAACTCTTGCATATGAGTTGGTAAAGCTGGTGTCCCCAAATTAGCTATGCCTAAACGATGTCCTTTTAATCTATAGATATCAATGGCGACGGCGTAGTAAAACGAGAAGAATTTGCTGCCCCCCATCCAGCTGAACGGAAGAACCCCAAGGACAAGAAGAGCAAACAAAGAATGCTAGAAAGGTCCTTGAATGTCTGCATGCTGTTAGATGCGTAGTCAACTCTTTTATTTCTAGAGAAGCGGAATTCGACAAGCAGGTGGACACAAATGGTGATGGAATTGCTACTTTGGAGGAACTTTTCGAATACATAAATCCCAGAAATGCCAAAAGCTTAGCTTCTGAGGTAATTTTGAATGTGGAAAATCTCTTTTTACCTAATTAATAATTTGCTTTTGTTCAGGCGAGAGAACTATTGGAATCCATAGACAGCAATGGAGACCATAAACTATCCTTGCAAGAATTACTGGATCGAGATCGATTGATTGAGTATAGTCCTTTGATTTCTGTTGCCGAAATCCTCCATGACGACTTATAAGACGGGATTCTTCTCAAAAACCAAAGTGTTGCTTTACCTACTTAGCCAAGTTTTGTGTTTCCGTACTGTTGATTTGTTTGATATAGAGTCCGAAGCTGTCAGACAGCTGCAAATAATATTGCACTTGATTGTGCTAGGCCGTTTAGCCTCTCTGTTGTTAGCGCCAATATGCCTTCTTTCAACTCGATGCTCAAATGAAATGTATTTTTTGTTTTTTCGAATGTAACTCTATGAAAAAAATTTTGTTTGCAGTTCTATAATGTGTTGATAATCGATTCTTTTGCATATGTGAAAGGACTCCCGAGCAAGTATAAATATATCTCTATTCCATGTTTTGTCTAGATGTAAAGAAGTTGCAGAAAGTAGTAAAACTGAAAGAGAAAAGCAGAAAGTAGGAATACTGGAAGAGAAAAGCTTTTGAAAAAAACGAATTAGTGCCGATTCGAAACTCATGCCTAGGACATTGAGAAATGGGTAACTGAACCTTAAAAACAATAGAAGAGAACAGCATTTTGGTAAAAAAAGGTCTTCGAAACTTTTGTGTAGGGGAAAAAGCTTAACATGGATTCAATAATTTCAACGACTTTTTTCATGTGACAGACAATGTTATGTATTGTATCACACTGAGATTGGAGCAAAAAGTTGTACGAGAGAAAG